CACATTATTAGGCCAATTAACTGGGATGTCCCATGAAACCGTAACTCCAAACCTCCAAACCAAGGAGCCAAATCCTATAAGGTGTTTGAGTGTATATGAGCAGCCTCAGCAGCTACTTCTGTGTTTTTTTTTTTTTTTTAACTTTTTTTGTGTGTGTCATTGTTGTAAATATCTATCACACACCTTTTGTCAATTCAACTTTTTACAGGTGTCAACTCCTTGACACCAATTACAACAGTCAGTTATGCAATCTCACCCTTAATCAGCATGAGTTTTCTGCCACCATTACCAACTCTCAGTGCTCCACAAGCAACAAGCTCCTTTCCCCTCCCTCTTGCCCCTGGTAACCACTAATAAACTTCAGTCTCCACACATCTGCCTTCTATTGTCTTTTAACATAAGCGAGGTCATACATGATTTGTCCTTTTCTGACTGACTGACTTCACTCAGCATAATGGCTCCAAGCCCCATCCACACTGCAGCATGTGTCAGGATGTCATGTCTCCTACTGGCTGAGTCATACTCCACTGCATGTGTATGCACCACAATTTGTTTCCTCTGGACACTCTGATGGAACCCTCCCCATGCCCCTGAGGTACCCCCATCAAGGAGTCACATCACTTTGCATTTAGTACCCTGGTCCCCCCTTTTTCTTCAATTGTGGCGAATATCTATGTAACGGAACACCTGCCATTTCAACATTCTTCACATGTACCAGTCAATGACATTAATTATGTCATAGTCATCATGTTTTCTCAACCATAATCATCAGCTTCCAAATTATCCCATCACCCATAATAGCAGCTTAGTGTCCTCTAAGCTCCGAGCCCTTCTTCCCCCCACTTCCCACCCCTAGTAACACTCACACACTGTGGTCTCTGAACACTTGTTTATTTTAGATAGTTCATCTAAATGTGGTCACACAATATTTGCCCTTTTGGGACTGACTTATTTCACTGTCATGTTTTCTAGGTTCATCAATGTTGGAACACGCATTGGGACTTCATTCCTTTTTATTGCTGAGTGATATTTCATTGTATGTATGTATCACATTTTATTTATCCATTCATCTGCTGATGGATATTTATGCTGTGCCCACCTTGTGGCTACTGTGAAGAGTTCTGCAACTCGTGCATAAGTATCTGTTTGCATTCTTGCTTTCAATTCTTTTGGGTACATACCAAGGAGTAGAACTGCTGCTGTTGTTGTCGTTAGGTGCCATCGAGTCATCTCTGACTCATAGTGACTCTATGCACAGCAGAACAAAACACCACCCAGTCCCACGCCAGCTCCATGATCATTGCTATACTTAAGCCCATTGCCGCAGCCACTGTGTCAGTCCATCTCATTGAGGGCCTTCCCCTCCTTCGTTGACCCTCCACTTTACCAAGCATGACATCCTTCTCCAGAGAATGGTCCCTTCTGATAACATGACCAAAGTAGGTGAGACAAAGTCTGGCCATTCTCGCTTCCAAGAAGCATTCCGGCTGCACTTCCTCTAGGACAGATGTGTTAGTTCTTTAAGTAGTCCATGGTACTTTTAGCACTTTTCACCAGCACCACAATTCAAAAGCATCACTTCTTCTTTGGTCTTCCTTATTCATTGTCCAGCTCTCACATGCATATGAAGCAAATGAAAATATTATGGCTTATGTCAGGTGCACCTTAGTCCTCAAGGAGACATCTTTGCTCCTCAGCACTTGAAAGAGGTCCTTTGCAACCAACTTGCCCAGTGCTATATGTCATCTGATCTCCTGATTGCTGCTTCCATTTGCATCAACTGTAGAACCAAGTAATGTGAATTGCTGGGTCATGGGTAATTATTCATATAGTCTGAAGAATGACCATATGATCCAGCAATATGAAGACTTTAGGAAGAAGAACTCAGCATCAAGATTGGAGGAAGACTCATAAAGAACCTGAGATCTGCAGATGATACCACCTTGCTGAAAGTGAAGAAGACTTGAAGCACTTACTGAAGAACAAAAACTACAGCCTTCAGTATGGACTATACCTCAACATAAAGAAAACATAAATCTGCACAGCTGGACCAATAAACATCATGATAAACAGAGAAAGGACTGAAGTTGCCAAGGATTTCATCTTACTTGGATCCACAATAATGCCCATGGCAGCAGCAGTCAAGAAATCAGTCATCGTATTGCACTGGGAAAATCTGCTGCAAAAGACCTCTTTAAAGTGTTGAAGAGCAAAGATGTCACTCTGAAGACTAAGGTGAGCCTGACCCAAGCCATGATATTTTCAGTCACCTCATATATATATGAAAGGTGGACAGTGAATAAGGAAGACCAAAGAAGACTTGATGCCTTTGAATTACGGTGCTGGCAAAGAATATTGAGAGTACCAAGGACTGCCAGAAGAATGAACAGAAATCTGTCTTGAAAGACGCACAACTGGAATAGTCCTTAGAAGAGAGGATGGCCAAACTTTGTCTCTTGTACTTTGGTCATGTTATCAGAGGGGCCTAGGCCCTGGAAAAGGATATCATGCTTAGAACAGCAGAGAGTCAGTGAAAAATGGGGAGACCCTCAACAAGATGGATTGATACAATGACTCCAATGATGGGCGGAAGTACAGCAACGATTGTGAGGATGGTGTGAGACTAGGAAGTACTTCTCTTTGTTGTACATGGGGTTGCTATGAGTTGGAACCACCTCGATGGCACCTAACAACAACAGTAATTCTATGTGATGCTGATCTTTGACAAGTCTACTTCTGAAAGCTTTACACATCCCAAGCTTCAAACATGTAATCAATTAGTTACAACACGTACTGATCTCATCTTCTTGACCTCTTATATTCACACCTGTTTAAGGAAAAATGAACACAAAACAAGAGCACATCAAAATACTGAAAGAAGAGCATTCTAATGAAAACTTTTAATCTTCTCATGACATATAACAATGAGCTATGATGTGTCACCAATCTGTAGTATAAGTAACTTCTCACCTTTTATTTCTTATGAGTTTACATATCCAATTATCTATTTAATTTTCCGTGGTTTTGCTACATTGACTTAAAACTTTTTAACAAGAAAGTCTCTTAATTTAATGGACTTTGCAGTTCATTTGGAACCAGTTGGTTTTTAAGTTGTTTTAGGATTACTGAACGTCACTGAGCAATGCCATAATTTCCTGGAGGACTCACACAGTACCTTAGCTACTTGTCCATTGGGACAACTGCCGAAAAGCCTACGTGGATAAAATTACCATGGCTTTGAATCCTTCCTTCTTATTTGACCCTCCTGCTGAGAACCTGCATTTCCACCCTAGATATACTGAATCAGAACTCACCTTGTAACCAGATTCCCAGGCGTTTCTGATCTACAGATCTTATGTATACATAAGAATCACTTGGGGATCTTGATAAAAGGTAGATTCTGATTCAGTATATCTGAGGTAGGAAGGCAAATTCTTATCAGGGGGTCAAACTGGCTACGCCCTGGAAATGACGCAGTGTGGCCAGGACTGAGAATAGGATTCCAACTCATAGCAATCCCCATAAGGTTTCCAAGGCTCTGAATCTTTATGGAAGCAGACTATCTTATCTTTCTCCTGTGGAGCAGCTGGTGGGTTCAAACCACTGACCTTTTGTTAGCAGACAAGTGCATTAACCACTGCGCCACCAGAGCTCCTTGCTAATATGATGCAGCAGGGTGAATTACATAAAACAATGCTGATTTTAAATAATGCCCACTCTCTCATCCATGGCTATTACAATGGCGGGTATGATTAAAGGAAGTGCCATTTAGACAATGGAGCTAAAAGCATTGTGTCTGCTCCCCTAGAATTTCTGCTCTGTTTCTTCCTGGAATTCTGCATTGAGTCCTCCTCTTTCTGTCAAAGTGGCACAGGAAAGGATCTCCTAAAGGGAGGTGCACTCTGATCTCGAAGTCCCTGGCTGGTGTGAGCAATCAATGTGCTCACCTGCTAAGGCTGGAGGTTCGCATCCACCCAGAGGCGCCTTGGAGGAAAAGCCTGGAGATCTCCATCCACAATCTCAGTGTGTGGAGAGCCATGGAGCACAGCTCTGCTCTGACACGCGCGGGGTCACCCCGAGTGGGCGCCGGCTCTGCCCTGACACGCGCGGGGTCACCCCGAGTGGGCGCCGGCTCTGCCCTGACACACGGGGTCACCCTGAGTGGGAGCCGGCTCCTCGGTGACAGTCTACTCTCCTCCCTCGAGGACCCTGGCCTGTGCAGCAGCTGCAGTATCACAATGTGTACGTGGACAGAGTCAGGCCTGGCTGCTGAGGGACTGCAGTGGGGGATGGGAGCACTGCAGGGCTCTGTTCTCGTCTCTCTGACAGGATTTTTGTATTTGGCCACTTCATGTGTGAAGGTGACTTTTCTCATCACCAGGAAGGCAAACTGAAGCTGTGACTGTGTCCCTGTATTCAATTCCTGTCATCGGCAATAATGGCCATTTCAGAACCCAATAGCAAATGGAGGCTACTCATCTCCTTATTAAAATAAGGCTCATATTAGAAGAAAATGATTTGTTTTCTTAGGAAGGAAAGGCAATCACCTTTGCTTTTCCTAGTATTTTGGGAGTTAAGACCACAATTTCAGACAATCTGATGCAGTTTGTTCTAAGAATTACCCAATACCGCACTTGATACCAAGTTGGGACTGAGGTATGTAGACAGACATGGGCCATATGCCATCGGAAGAGAACCTTATTCAGAAGCAGACTCAAGAAACACAGTGTTAGGAGAATTTATGCAGACACCAGTGAAGAGACATTCTGGTATCATTGATTTTTTTTTTATTTCCAGGGTCCCATTCTCTTTTCAAAGGGAGGGCAGTTCTATCTTGACAATAATTTAGGATACAACCCAGCTCTCTGATTTATGCAAAAGGACACAAATTCACAAATCTGCCTGGGCTACTTTCATTTCAGTACCGCGCTGTATGCAGCTGTGGTTTCTGGCAAAATAAAACGCAGTGGAAGTGGAACGTGAACGGCTCATACGGGCAATCATTTCCCCTTCAGCAGCTCCAGAAGCTCCTCCCCCAGCCCCTTCTCACTCAGCTCATCTATGCCGTAGTACCGATGAGCGATCCTCTCGGCGGTGACCACCACGGCCCGGAGCCCGTGTGTGTCTCTGCCCAGCTGGCATCCGATGGCGGATGACACCACCATGTCGAGGTTCTGGTAGGTGCCCCCAGCATTCCTGTGATAGTGGCCCGAGAACACGGCTTTGATACCTGCGGGGAAGGAGAAGAGACATCATGGGGGCCAGGGCCTTCCACTCACATAACTAGGGTGCTCCAGTGTTTCATTCTGTAAACAATACATTATTAAATACAAAATATGACTCTGTGTATGGAGTCCCTGGGCGGGCAAATGGATATGCTCGGCTCAGCTACTGACTGAAAGGTTGGTGGTTCAAATCCAACCAGAGATGCCTGTGAAGAAAGGCCTGTGGAGGCTTCAGGAAACCCTCTGGAGCTCAGTTCTACCCTGTAACACACGGGGTGAATTGGAATCAACTCCCTGATGTCTGATCTGCGTTTTGTTTGTTGGTTTAATTTTATCCTATGTATAATAAATAGCAAGGTGGCATATGTGACACCTAGGATCTTTCCAAGGACAGTCCATATACACAACACAGCACACTATTAATACGATCATCATAACTAACACGAGAAAGTACTAGTGGAAAAGATGAGAGAAGGAAGATAAAATGAAGGACTTTGGGAGGGGTAAAAGAGGCTGGCAAAGTATTCTGACGGCAATATCAATATCCACTGATAGAAGTTATGTGTCTATTAAAAATAATGTTTATGGCGTTCCAATCAAGATAGCACAGTCTGTTCACCATTCGCTGAACCTCTTCTGTGCCAAACTTATAGCCGTGACAGAGCAAACATAAAAAGAAAACCAAAGGGCAGAGCTAGACTCAAAACAAAAGAAACAGCCCCACAGCCCACAAACAAAAGAGAAAGTTGATGAAACAGTGGGATTAAAGTGTTGCTAAGGAGCTAACCTCTTATCAGATGATAGAGTCCAAAAGTGTTCTCCACGAGACAAAGAATGAAAGCCTACCTCCCTGTTGGACGTAGGGCTGGGGAGAGGTGCCTCTGTTTAGGGAAGGAGGCCAAAGAAAGTGCTGGTGCCTGGGACTAGGGCAGCGGTGTGCTGCTCAATGTTTAGTAAGTTCTCCGGGGTAAACAACAACAACAACAAAGAAAAGACCTGATTTGTAGCATTCGTCGATTTCCACGGTAAGTACTCCCATCGCAGCCAACGTCAAGCCATCTATGTGACGTGATTGTATGTTGAATGGGACAAGATGCCCTCTGAGCACCATTATCCAGTATTTGTACCATAAAGACACAAAGGCTGTAAAAAGTCTTAAGGGCACTGTTGTCGCATGCTATTGAGTCCATCCCAACTCTATTGACCCTATGAGACAGAGTAGAACTGTCCCAAAGGGCTTCCTAGGCTGCAATCTTTATTGGAGCAGATTGCCAGCACTTTTCTCCCAAGAGCTGCTGGGTTTGAACCACCAACCTTTAGGTTAGCTCCCAAGCACTTAACCACTGAGTCACCAAGGATCCTTTTTAAGAGCACAGATATAGTAATATATAGTAAAATAATAATATAGAGTAAAATAACTAGGAAATGATGTGTTTTGAGTATTTATTACCTTTGCCTTTTAATATAATTTATTAATGGTAAATTTATATAATTTAATTTTTAATGACAGCTGAACAACCAGCTAAAAAAATTCCCCAGATTTCTCTGTTGGTCCTCATTAGCCATTACAAGCCGGTTCAAGCACACCACTAGGATAGATGTGTGGGTTTAGGACAGAAGGACAGACACAGGCTCAAGTCTAAGAAGTGAAACACGTTTTCCCAATATTACTGTGGGGCGATGGCCCTAAACAACCATTAGAAGACCTGACCCTGCATACAGCCTGGGGTGGAAGCAAGTAAAACCACTAGATAGGGAAGAGTCAGTACAGAAAGAAATAATGAGGGGGACAATAAAACCAAAAAATACTTCTTATTCAAACTGGCCCCGCAATGAGAGTTCCAAAGCCTCTGAGGGGGTCTCTGCTAATTAGGACAGCCTACAAAGTATTCGGTCAGGAACATGAATTCACTCAAGATGAAAATAATGATACACAACTACCTGCCAAAGATTTAAAGCAGACATGCTTAGGAGCTCAAATGAGACTAATAAAGGGCTGACTAACAAAGAACAAGATGTTATGAAACAAAACAGGCATAAATCAAATGAGAAGAGTTAGTAATGAGAAATTAGAAATGGTGGATAAAAAAAGGACACAACCATTAAAATTTGCAATAAATTCTCGACTACACACTAATCAAAGAGAAACTTAGTGAATTAAAAGAGAGAATTGAGGAATTAAAAGAGAGAAACAGAGACCCAGGCACAAGCAACGGAAAGAACCTAAAGGAGACGAAGAGACATTGACAGGTGCTTAAGGGGAACTGGAAGTGGAGAAAGGAGGAACTGATAGCATTATTCAAAGAAATAACAGATGAGAATGTTCCAGAAATGTGGACACAAGTCCCCAGGTAATAAATACTGAAGAGCATAAATAAAGATTAACTCATGCTAACATATATCACAGTAAAATTATGGACCTTCAGAGAGTAAAAGAAAAACCTTAAAAGGACACAATGGAAAAAATATCATTTACAAAGAAGTGACAATTAAGACCCATAGCAGGCATCTGAGCAATAGCCTGACATGTCAGTGAGATAATGCCCCTCCCCTCCAAAGATGTCTAAACCCCAATGCCTGGAACCTGTGACTATGTCTCACAGCGTGGGGGAATTAAGGCTGCAGGTAGAATTAAAATTGCCCATCACCGGCTTTGAAATAGATTATCCTGGATTATCTGGGTGAGCCCACTGCAATCACAGATCCTTTAAATGTGGAAGAGGGAGGCAGGAGGTGAGGAGTCAGGGAAGGAGACGTCAAGAGCAGAGCGAGGTTGCAGTGATGTGGTGTGTGGGCTCAGCCTGCCATTGACAGCTGTGAACATGGAAGGGCCACAGGCCCAGGACACTGGCAGCTTCTAGAAGGTAGGAAAGCAAAGAAACAGGTTCTCCTTGAGAACCTCCAGAAGGAACACAGTCCCATCGACACCTTGTTCCAGGAAACCATCACCCACCTGCTCAGACAAATGAAAAGTCAAATGATGTTTTCATTTAGCATTTTACTTTCAAGATCCACTAAATCACTTGCTTTTTGCTGCTACATGGGATTCCTGTAGCTCTGGTGGCCTTTATTAACTTTTCTCTCTGTTCCTAGTCTAATAATCATTATCTAACCCATTCAATTTTCCTGTAGCATGTCCCTATCAAGAGTAAACCTCTGAACTGGTTTATGAGAGGCCTTTTCCACTGCAGCAAGATTGTAACAAATCTTTAACGTGTACTCAGTGGAAAAATAAAATGAAAAAGGAAGGTGAGGTTGTCAACAGATAATCTAAGAAAATGCTAAGCAAAAGCAAGGTGAGTCGGCAATATTAAAGTCAGGTTAAAAAAAGAAAAGTTCAGGGAAACAGATTAGGATTAAGAGGGTACCACATAACAATTCAGTAAGAGGACCCAGAAGATGAAACATCATGAACTTATATGCGTCTAACAACGTAGCTGCAAAATCTACAACACAAAAACGGACAGAACTTCAAGGATAAACTGAACAAACTGTGAATATATCACGCCACAAACTACCTCCCCACAAATACCAAAGTTCTAAATGTGATTAGAAATAAACAGAAAAACAGAACTATTAAAATAAATACATGAAAGGCAAAATAAAACAAAACAAACTAACAAAAACTTTAAAAGTATTTGAAAAAAAATACAGAGAAAAGCTTTTAGACTTTGGGTGAAGAAGGATTTCTTTAACAAGATTCAAAAAGTAAAAAGCCAGAAAAAAAAAGAAAAGCAGGAATTTTACTATCTTACAACTGGAAACTTCCCTATAATGAGAGACACTGGATAAAAAGTTAAAAGTAGAAAGACGGAAGGAAACAGCTGTTACACACAGATCAGAGAGCTCCAGAACACAGAAAGAACTCCTAGAAAGAAAGAAAGAAAAAGCCCAATGGGAAAATGGGCAAAAAGAACGAACAGGAAAGTCACATACGGGAAAATGTAAAATGGCCGTTAATCACACGGAAAGATGCTTAATCTCAATGGTGATCACAGAAACGCAAATTAAAACAAAGATTCCATTTCAAGCCATCAAAATGGCAAAAATATACAGGTTTGCTAACACAGATGAAGAAACATCAACTTACACCCTGTTTATAGGAGAGTTAATCAGTATACCAGTTTTCAGAGTGATTTGGCAAAATGTAGTGAATTTGAAGACCACCTTATTCTCTAACCCAGTAATCTACGTCTGGAATAAAAGCCCATGGATCACAACGGTCTGATTCCGCTGGGGTCCCAGGAGTCAGGGGCCAACTGATGGCAGCTAATAACAACAGTCCCCAATCAGGGGCATTTCCAACCCTCCAGGAATGCTCACTGCAGTAATACTTGTGGTATTCTGAAAACAAAGAAATGGATAAAAGAAAGTGCTATTAATATGCTTGAGTCCTACAGAGCAGTGAAAGGAAATCCATTAACAGAGCTCAGAAGTGTAGCTGTGAGTAAACAATGTCAGATTCTGAACACAGCATCATACACTATGCAAATAAAAAACACAATATATATACAGAAGCCTATATTATGGTCGTATCAATATGCACATGAACACATAAAAAATGGATCTACAGAATATCCATCGGGTCTGCTCTGGAAAGCAGGAAAGACAGGATTGGGAATGGTGGTAAGAATGACAAATGGGGAAAAAAGAAAGGAAAAAGTAGAGCAAGGGGAGAAAAATAAAAAATACGTACCAAGGAACTATGTACAAAATGCACACAGCCACTGCTTCTGGTTGGTAGGATTCCAGGAGACTCTGAACAGAACCCTCAAGCCTACCACCCTGTGGGCCTGGAGGAAGGGGACCCACACGTGGGCAGGGGTGGCAATTTGCCACGTGAGGTGCAGAGTTAGGAAAGCAAAGGAAGGGGACCCAGGTCCCTACTTCAAACAGTCAAGGGTGGGGCAAAACATATTCCCATTTACAGTTAGGAGAATGCAATGGACACAATCAATTCCGGAGGGCAAGCCGGCCTTACCGCTCCACTGTGCTGTGTATTCCT